CTTAGGTTCAAAGTTACTGCAAACTTCGATAAAGACTCTAGCAAAAAGGTACATTTACAAGTTGAGAAAACAAAGATAAAAACTAACACACCTTGCCTGGTTGTTTACTTACAAGTTGGAAATATGAGAGACTTGTTCAGAAAGATTTGGAGAGCCTGGATTGATGTCTGGTCCCTCTCAGTCCCAAGAGCGAACAACCCTCAAAACAAAGAGCACAAACAAAAGCCTTCCTCCACCAAGATTTGAAAGTATCTTGTCCCCTTATTGGTCCCTTGGGTCAGGTGTCAGCCAGGTTACCTGAGCTCCTTAACCCTTTACAGGTAAAAGGATTTTGGAGTCTCTGGCCAGGAGGGATTTTATAGTACTGTACACAGGAGGGCTGTTACCCTTCCCTTTATAGTTATGACAAGGATCTACTCTACATTAGGGATTTGTGCATCAGTATAGGTGCAAAAATCTCAAACCCACACAAGCTTTAAGGTATAAAGGTTTGTAATGTGCACTAGTTTCGTATTCAGTGAGTGTGCAAAGCAAGTCTAAGTGACATATTGAAGGGGTAGAAGAGGACTGTGTCTTACACACTCCTTTTGGTTGCCTTTCCTGATACCCACTTTTCGTTTGTCCACTGGGCACAAGTTCTGAAGTCCTTATGTAGATACAACTGTAATCGACTTCAATGGGAGTTCTGCCCAAGGAAGGACTGAGTCAGGTTTTGATCCTCAGTATGTAAATGGCATTCATTTGCACACCCAGTGCACATTACTGTACTTTTTGACCAACTTACCCCCAATGAGCAACTTTACACTTGTGTTGAATTTAGCCCCCCTCAGCATCCCTTCTGAAAGAGCCTGCTCTTGAATGTATGCAATCAAATAGACAGACATTCCTGAAGCACAGGTGCACTCCCAAAGAGGTGTGGTGCTGGATGGGGGAAGTAGAGATATAAGCAAGCCTATTTGGATAAAATAAGGAACAACCCAATCAACCTTCACCCTCAGATCAAACCAAACATTTGTTTTGAGGTTACATAAAGTCTGGTTAGTTTTTCTGTTTCTTCACTATTGTTAATTATTGTGTAGCTCTTGTTTCGAGTTCCAACCAAGGCTAGAAGAGCAAGCTCTGAAATACCATGAGACCAGCTGTTCTCACAGTATTTCCGGCCCAGTAGGAAGCACTCCTGAAAAAGTCTGTTTTTTGTCAGACTCTGAGCCCTACTTTTTCCCATTCAAAGCATTTTGAAAGTCCCTAAAAGGGCCAGAAGGCCATTCAGATCTTTGTGTGCCAATCTAGAACAAGACTTTTGAGGTTTGACCATCACTAGCAGCAAGATGACACCTACTGTTGCTTAAGTAAAACTCTTTGGTACTCCTGTGAATTCTGCCTCAAACTTTCCCTAGAACTCTCATCAAACAAAGCACATCCCACACACATTTCAGAACTCTGTGTTCCATGAAAACTTGGCAGGACGCAGAATTCTTTCTGTGATCATAAGCTAGTGGTTTAACCTTGTTGTGCCTCAATTATCCCTCTGTAAAATGGGGATAACAATACTTAACATTATCTCAGAGGGGTGTTATGAGTCTTAATTTGTTTGTGAAAATGCTTTGAGATGCTGGGACATTATATATAATGCTATATAACTACAAGGTTTTCATATCATCATCATTATCCATGTGAAAAGCTTCACATGTGTGCATCCTCCAGATCACTGGGACAAAATTCCAGACTTTGCATTGGAGTTTTCTTCTCTCCCTGTGACATCTCCTTCTTCTTTCTGAGCTAGGGCCACAGGACATTGTTCTCATCGGGAGCATTGCAGGAGGTTCAGTTATCTTTATCATCTTTTTGGCTCTGCTGATTTACTGTATCAGGAAGAAGAGAGCAGAAAGATATGCACAGGGTAAGCCCTTGAAATTTTCATGTTGCTGTCTGACCACTTAAAATCTCCTAGTTCTTTCCACAAACTGCTCAGAAATAGTGAGGGAGAAAAGAACTGAGTTTTGTCACACTGCAATTCTACACTTAAATTGCCAGTTTTAATCTTGGTTACTGATGGTTGTTTTTAACAAGACAGTGCTATTTTCAAGGACTATTATTTACCAGTGAGGGGAGAACAGACCGTCCAAAAGCTTGTCTCAGAGAAGCATCCATGATTATTTGAACATCCTTGATCTACATGTAAGCTTGAGAATCTCACCAACATACTTTCTCATTAACTTATATATATGTAAAGACAACCAACATCACTAATTGCATTTGAAATGTAGGCATGCCTAGAGAGTGATTTGGGGTGCCTTCATTTTTTTTGGATATGCAGCCCGAGACTTTAAAGAGACCAGATTTTCAGAAAGTACAGAGCATAAGAGAGGTTTTGTTATTATTTATTTATCCTTTAAGAATCAGGCCCCATTAAAGTGTCTCAACTTGGGCACCTGGACATAGAGGTATGCAAAAATCACTAGTAATTTTTGAAAATTTAGATTGAGTTTTAGTTTTGTTGGTCACAGAAAAAGAAGAAAAGGTATGTAATGAGAGAAATCAAATTCAAGAATACAACAGAGGTATTAGCTATAAATAATTAACAATGAAATCATCATTACAGGTAAATCACATGATTAGGGTGAACGGGGTTTAACTAAGTCCTACATGCTCATGAGATGTTTTCATGGTGTGACTGGCTTGACCAGCAATAGGGAGGACCATAAATCTCCCAATAGCCTTTCCTTGGAATATATCCAGTCTGACCCTGCAGACCTCAGAGGTTTGGACAGTTCAGCAACTGAACTTTTGGTTGCTCATCTGAACCAAACCCAAACTCCAGACCTGTTAGGTCTGTCTTCACTAGAAAACTAAGACATGTTAGAACATGATCTTGAGGAGTCATGAACATAAGAACGGCCATACTGGGTCAGACCAATGGTCCATCTAGCCCAGTATCCTGTCTTCCAACAGTGGTCAATGCCAGGTGCTTGATGGGAAATGAACAGAATAGGCAATCGTCAAGTGATTCATCCCCTGTCACCCACTACCAGCTTCTGGCAAACAATTTGTTTTAGTTACCATGTTTCATTAACTTTGTGCCCTAGCAGTTCGTGTAGACAGGGACTGTTGTGTTTAACGTCTTACCAGTGATCATGGGTAACCTTACTGGAACCAAAGATTTACCCATGATCCATGACATAATTTTAAAACTGACTTGTCTCTGTCCTCACTGAGTGTTAAGGTGCATTTAACTCTGTGTTAGTTACCATCAAGGTAACTAGTCTTTTGGAATGGTTCAATAGGAGTTTAGGATCAGTTCAGTATCTGAGCCAGTGGGTCACTCACCCCCTAAATCAAATCATACATGGTCACTGGCCTTTCAGAAATGGTAATAAAGTGGCCAAAGACCATTAGTCTACTTCATCTATGTGAAGTACATTTAGTATGGGTAAAAAGTACAAGATTGATTGCCCTTGTGAACGGACTCCTCTATTTACCTACAGAACAATTACAGCATGGACAGCAGCAGGGCAAACTTCTTTTATGCTGCCCCCTGCTGATGTGTCTCAACCCTGTCTTCAAGGAATCACCTCCAAAGATGAGAGGAGTTCAGTCTCCTTGGCATATTTCCTGCTTGCTTGTAAACTGTTGTAGCTATCCAGCAGAGCAGGCACACTGAGATAGGAGGGGATGGAACTGACAGAAATACTCTATGAGCACCATGACCCCTACCAGCCAACAGCTGGGCCATAGGGGTAATCTGGGAGTAGAGGGCAAATTCAGGTTTTATTATTTCATTGAAATAAACAGGGTCCCCCACACCAGACCACTTAAACTATGCAAGCATTTGACTGCTTGCCAGTGTCCAAGCCTCCTTCCCTAGGTAGTAGCTATTCACCATAAATAACAATGCCACATTCCTTTTTGACTAATATTTTTGTTTCTTATTGCCATTCTGTTTATATTTCCAAAATATCCGGATAACTAAAAGGCACTAGCTTCTGTGTGATACCTTTGCTAACACTGACCCCCAGCGCAGTGAAAACCTTGGACCCCATTAGGGGAACAGGGCCTAGGAAAGATCTCAGCAGCTTCTTTAACTAAGACAGGCACAGGCTGCCCTGCAGACTCCTTTTGTAACCAGCCTGGATTATCTTCTGTTTGTTTGTACTGGTGACATGACTCATGCCGAGTCATTAACTAATTACTTGGCGGATTTGTAATTGCAGATGACGAGACACCGATGCAAATTCAACAAGTGGATGATGAATTGAAATATCGGGAGCTTCCTCAATCTCTAGTTCACGCTCCCTAGAAACAGCCATGTCAGCAGCAGAGACCCCCTCCACAGTCTCAAACTCAGTACCACGTAGTGCCCCCCCAGCCCAGGCCACGCACTCAGCTGAAGTCTCCAAGCCACATGAAAAAGCGACCCTAAGCATTTCTCCTGGATGAACAGAACCTGTCCCATTACCTGCTCTGGTGGGACCCACCACAAAAATAACCTTGCAAATAGCCATCAATTCCCCAGACTGGCTGCTTTTGTTGTAGAAGATCATAATCTATACTGAATGGGTGATAAAAAGGCTCATCAACGGAGACTCGAGGTGATCAAAGGTCATTACTTTGGCCCTTTTCTCCAAGTGACTCCATGCTAATGTGGGGCATTTAGTCCTGAAATCTGCTTCTTTTTTGCTTCATTTGGTTGTACCTCTCCTTGCCATCTTCTGGGTGTTTTTGTTTGTGTTTTTTTTTGTGGGAGGTGGGGGGCGGGCTTGTGTTGGGAAAGGCCCTAAGACTCTATTTAGGTGACTTTCATCACATCTATTTCTTTCTCCCTATACCTGCACTCCCACCCAAACATGCCTCTACTTGTTGCAGCCAGTCTTTTGATCTTATTGAGAGGAAAATAGTTGTGTTAATTGTATGAAGGTCTGACATATTGGAGTGCTGGCAAGAAACTGCAACTTTATTTCTTGGCTAGTGACATGACCTGGTTCAGGGTTCCCAAGGCAGATATGCTTGTCACATGGCAGGACCCATTATCCATTGACGTGAGAGATTCCTGTAACAGTAATACATACTACCAACCAATACCAAGCAGTCTAATTAATAACTACTTTCTCTGAACCTTGTTGGTTCTCTCATCCAGAGGTGAAAGTGGGCTGATACATGCTGGTATGGCGTACTGGTAAGAAATGGCCGTTGGCACCGGCCCGTACACACATGACGTTATCGTTGCTGCCCCTTTTGCACCCCTCCCCCCAAGGCTGCAGATGGGATAGGTAGGAGAGAGGGAGGAAGGGGCAGCTGTCCCGGGGCCTGGCGGTTTAAAAGGGCCCGGGGCTCCCAGCCTCCGCTACTGCGGCAGTGGCCAGAGACCCGGGCCCTTTAAGTCGCTGCTGGAGCCCTAGGCGGCTCGGAAGGTCTGGCTGGGGGAAGCTGATCCCCGAGGCCCCGCCCCTTCCGGGGGCCCAGAGTCAGGTCTCTGTACCGGTAAGTCTTTCATCTTACTTTCACCCCTGCCCTTCTCCCATGGGCATTTCATGAGGATTACTTTAGATCTATGGCTTTGGTATCCTCCACAATCACTATATGGGGTGTCTTTATTCCTATCTAACTTCACCTGAGGCTGTCACATCAAGACGTTAGTTGAACTTGTATGTTTAGAGCCCAGTTAATGCCATTGTACTGGGATGCAGAAGACCTAGGTTTCTATTTCTGGCTCAGCCACTGTCCTGCAGTTTTCTCTCCTATCCTTTGTTGATCTTCTCTGTTTAGAGTGTAAATGTTTGTGGTCTCTTGTTAAGTGTTTGTTCAGTGTCCACCATAATGGGACCTCTAGGTGCTATGTCTAAGCATTTAGAAAAAGAAAAACAACCCCCCATAAACCTATGCAACCCAACAAAGTCAATGGGGAAGCACAGAGGTAACTAAGGGAAGAATATTTCCCAAAGGATCATTTGGCTTCAGTTGTAAGGCTAAGTGTAGTGTAAACCATCCAAAAGACTAAGGTAGCTCCATTCTCCAGTGTAACTCACTAACTTACATACAGTATCTACTAACTGCTAAAGTACTGTTGTCAAAAACAACTTTACCGAATTCCATAATTCTCCTATCCCACAAGCCTCATTAGATTTGCTTAGTTAATATATCAAAAGATTTTTTTAAATTCTAATCAGTAGCCCTGCAAAAAATCAACTCAATACCTGAAAATCAACTTAGAATCTTTTTGGTTCATGCATCATCACCACAAATAGTGACTGCACTTTGAATGTGTTGATTATACATGAGTCAGAAGGGAAATCAGTGATCACTACTGTAGTTATATTGACTCTGCATTGCTCACAGTAGTAAAAATTGTACAGAAAGCTGACATGTCATAGAGGGTCAAATTATTCCCCGGCTTGCACACATTCTTAAATTTACAAGGTTATCTAAGGAAAGCTGATGACCCACAATTAGGAAATACCTTGATATTGAGGGTGTGCCAATTTTATGTACAACCAAGTCACTTCTCACATATCCACAGTTTAAAATTAGTATGTAGAATATATGTAGTGTAAGTTGAATGCAAAAGATTGCAAAGAAGTCCCTTCAGCTTAGACATGCCTTAAGCAGAAAACATGAAAATTCTCAAAAACACACTTTTCACTATACTCAATAGCCTATAGGAAAGTGTGAAAACTAAATGCAGTACAGTAGCAAAGAGGAAAAAAAGCAGACTTTGGACAAACATTATACAAAATTGGGTTTGGATTTTGCCTGTATTTTACCACTATACCATGGTTTTGCTAATTTCACCAAATCCTGCAGTCCTTTATCTGGGGTATTCACTCTCATTGAAGACGATGCAAGTTTTGCACAAGAAGAACTGAAAGAGGACTTGCAGGAGTTGGCCAGGGTAGAGCTGCAATTTACACACTAGTTAAACTATAATGTTCCTTATTCTGTATCTTTTAACAATGTAATTACTGCAAATGAAGAGCTGGAAGGATAAAAATTGATGCATGCCAGGTACGCAAAATCCATTTCCTGTAGCCTCAATTTTAAGTCCCTATGCTGAATAATGTGAATATATTTCTTTCAACTGATGACAAAGCCTTAATCGCAACTCAACCAGGACAATCCAAAACGTTGTTGAACAAACAAATTAAACCTTTTAAAAAAAGGAAATACTTAGGCTATGGGTTTAATTAGATATCCTTTCAAATGGAAAGGTTCTTCATTACACTGTTCTCTTTAAAATGATTTTTGGGGGAGATATATAATAATCACCTCAAATCTAGATTAAGGCCTTGGCTACACTGGCAATTCACAGCGCTGCACTTGCTGCGCTCAGGGGTGTGAAAAAACACACACCCCTGCGCGCAGCGAGTGCAGCGCTGTAAAGCGCCAGTGTAATCAGCGCCTGCAGCGCTGCACGCTCGCTCGCAGCACTGCAAGCTATTCCCCTCGGAGAGGTGGAGTACTTGCAGAGCTGCGAGAGAGCTCTCGCAGCGCTGGCGGTGCGACTACACTCGCGCTTCACAGCGCTGCCGCGGCAGCGCTGTGAATCCGCAAGTGTGGAGCAATTGCTCAACCACTTTGAAGCTGTGACAGCAGCCTCCCCATACTAATAGCACAGCTATGATTTACTGTGTGCTCAGGGGCAGGAGAAGTTGACCAAGGGAGCCACATAGAGCTCCAATCCTACAAACACTTAAGCACATATGTAATATTACTCACCTGAGCAAAGTTACATACATGCTTAATCATTCACAGGATCGGGGTCCTTCTTTGCAGACTTATCTAACCACAACCATTTGTAGAAATCCTGACCCCAAACCTCCTACAGAAAGAGCCACCATAGAGCCTCAGTGTAGCCTACTATTCCCTACCCCATGTTGCAATAAATGATGATTTCATTGCTAGCATGTATATTTGTCAGAATTTGCCCCGACTATGAAGTGGATTGCAGCCTTGAACACTTAAAAACAAAAGCAAAAACAAGCAAGCCAAAACACTGAGCTAGCCTCAATGGACCTTGATGCGATCTCTGAAGAAAAGAAGAATGTAGGATATTGAGGATATTATCTACACAATGCATATCCTGTGTATATACAGGATCGTTACATTTACAGACTCCACTGTCTGTCTCGATTGGTCCTGTGGCATAGAGCTTTTGGAAAATAAACCTCTCTTTTCTATGCATCCGAAGAAGTGGGCTGTAGTCCACGAAAGCTTATGCTCTAATAAATTTGTTAGTCTCTAAGGTGCCACAAGTCCTCCTGTTCTTCTTTTTGCAGATACAGACTAACACGGCTGCTACTCTGAAACATCTCTTTTCTATGTTTGTGGGTTTAGTTGCACTATGTTGCTATGTTCCTAATCTCTATTATTGTTTGCTAAGTGCTTAAAAAAAAAAAAAAAAGACCACCTTTAACAGCTACTACAAAACCCCCAAATATAAATAAAATCAATTTTACCCAAAGCCCATTAGCATACCTCTTAATATCAGTATTATCACTGGGACAGTGATTGCTGTGAACTACATCTTCCTATGCCTAGAGGCTCTCTGTACACATCATACCACTTTTTTTAAAGTAGTAAGATGGAGTGTAAGCTTAGGCATTTAGGAATTTTTACCCTAAAAGCAAGTAATACTCAAGTTTTATTAAATGTATATGATTGATCTTAAATTAACTGGGATCCCTGGCATTAGAGAATTCTTTTGTTTAGGTGTGAGAAAAGCTATTCTACATCCATCTGATGACAAACAAGAGTAAGTTTTCAGTCAGAAGTATGGAACTTCATAACCTCATCTTTATCGATGATGGAATGTAATTTTCTATAGGAAAGCTAACTTATTAGCTTCAGTTTGTAGGACATTTGGGGTTTGACATGTATTAGAGTGCTAAAAGCATTCTGAAGTCACTAAAACTAAGATAACCACCTACTTTTCCATTATTGCTCCTAGATAACAGGTTCTCTAGGATAATAAAAATAGAAAGAAGAGTCTTTATAGCTTTTGTTGTTTAGAATCATAAGTTGTGAAACTCTGAAGAAAAGCAAGAACATCTGCTGTCAGCATTACTCACTTTTTCCCATGGCTGTGTTCTTGTGGAATCTAAACAGCTGGTCAACAAGAATAAAACATTTTATACAACCATGTACATGATTTATTATGTCCCCCTCCCAAAAAAGAAAGTTTACAGTTTTAGATTGGGTATATTATCACTCTTGCAGTTTTATGCGATCATTTCTTCCAACGAGTTTGTCCTTTGAGAAAATGTTTGCTATATTGCTATTGCAATCCCTTGAAAGCTCAAATTGTAAAACTCTTTCTTTGCTAAAATGAAACCAAAAAGGTATTGTGTTTTTTATTGTAGCATACTCTAATGACAGATCAATGATATTTTTAACAGGGCTTTGGAGCTGAGCCTGGAGCTGGAGTGCAGAGCAGTAGGATTTTGCTCGGAGCCGGAGCAGAGCTGGAGCGGAGCAATTCAAAAATTTGATTGCTCCAAATCCCTGATTTTTAATTTAGATTTTGCATTTGGGAACAATTTTATTTCAGTGAATATAAATAATGTACATTTTTCAAAGGAGATCAAGGAAAAGGAATATAAACATCCACTTTCAAACACCATGAACAGACTACTTGCAGTCTGAAGCACTGTGCCTTGTACTAAAGCCCCAATCTTGTAAACTCATCGAGCATGTGCACAACGTCATTCTTGTTAATAGTCCCATTCGGTGAAATCCTAGTCCCATTCAAATCAATGGGAAGTTTACCACTGACTTCAGGGAGGCCAAGATTTAATCCATTGATTGTATAGGCATTACTTATGAGGGTAAAGTTATGCACATATAAATGTGCTTGCATGATTGGGGCCTCAGTCAGGATGGGTGATAATCTACTCAATTATTTTGTCTAAAAACACAGTCATTCCTCAGAGATCATATTTGAGCCAATGACAGCAGTTTGTCTCCACTTAATCGCAACAGAACCATCCTGGGTATAACCTTATTTACAGAAAATGCAGAATTAGTAATATATTCAATATAAGCAAAATATCTTTTATGTTTTAAATTTCAATTGTTTCTTTTCAGTGTCAAAAAAATGAAAAGGTTTGGTGTGCAATAGATATGCTATTGTTATTCATAATCTTTTATCTAAATACAACCATTTGGGGCCTTGTACAAAGAAGCCTGTGTGCTGCAAATCTAAATTTGTTCTTTTTATTATCTTAAACAGATGTCAAATTAAGTTGGTCTCAGTCTGTTACTATATAAAACAGACACTTACAAATATATAACCTGTTATAACTAGGGATGTGGAAAGTAGTTCCTATCCCATTCAATAATTCTCCCAGAAGTCCAACACATCCCAGATCAAGCTTTTTGAGGTACAAAAAGAGTTGGTTAATATTTCTTTCTACTTCTCTTTTCCCCTGTGCCTCAATACTTCTGGATTCTGGCTCAGACTGAAATTGCAGATATTGACATATAAGTTTTGAAATATCACAAAAAAAGCCTTTTCTTAATGTATTTCAGGCCCTCCTAGAAATATGAAATACCCTAGATCTGACCAAAAAAAGTCTAGTCTGTTGATTTATTCAGTCAAGTTTTGCAAACTCAAGAGTTTATTACCATTTCTGAAAGGCCAGTGACCATGTATGATTTGATTTAGGGGGTGAGTGACCCACTGGCTCAGATACTGAACTGATCCTAAACTCCTATTGAACCATTCCAAAGGACTAGTTACCTTGATGGAAACAGCAACCAGCCTTTTCTATCAGCTCAGAAGTCATTACTTCCATGTAATTTCTCTGAGCATACAGATACTTAACGTTTATGATGTCATTAACCCTATCGTTTCTAGTATCTGTCAAATACCACACAGCTCAAGTTTCTGCAGACCAACAAGATAAAATCTCCTCACTGTCAACACTGTTTATAGTGCTGGAAGTTAGTTCTGACAATGTGATAATGAAGTAAAATAGGTTTTGGTATTTTTCTAATTTTACTCTACCTGCCCCTGAATGTTTTACTTTCATTGCCTATTAATGTCAACTCATACTAGGAGATAACTGACTTGGTTAATGAGATTATGGTCACAAAAGTGCCTGTAAAACTGTCACATTATTACTACCCATATCAGATGTGCATGTTCTGAAAAACAGCTGTTTAATTTCTAACAAGAAATGACTTTTTACTGCTGTCAGCACTACAGAGTCCATAGACCTGTGTAAAAATGAGCTGCCTTCTATTTTGTTCATGCAATAAACTTGCCAGTCAAGTTCTTTTTATTTTAGAATCTGTTTACACAAGAACTTCAGGTCAAGCTAAATTCTGTTGGAATAGACGTAAAAGGAAGATGGAAATTGCTCTGTTGTAGGGCAATCCCACGTAATGTAAAGCCAGCATAGAAAGGTCTATACTATTCATGCCACACACCCTTTCATGGAAAGCATTCTGAGGCAAGCAAAGGGCATGGCTAAAATGTGATGCGCTCCAGTCATCTTGGACCATTAGAATGTTCTCTAGGCTCACTGAAACACTTTCCTATGTTACAGCGACACAGAGTCTGTTTCCTGGATTAGATGTGGTGCAAGGGAGATCTGAACCTTGTGTTTCTAGGGGTATTTACAGAGACATACAGGTACAGATGTAAAATACACATATCCAATATACAGATTTTGTATACAGATACTTGAAATATTATTCACCAAAGAATATATAGGCATTTGATGCAAGCTTTTTATCTACCGACAGTTACACAAGTAGTGGGAATATACTTTCTAGAAACAGATGTATACGTAAGCATTTGGTGCAGAATTCCAAAATTTTAATAGTTCACACATAAATGTGCAAGATAGAAACAACCACAGCTTGGCTTTCAAATATTAGTTTGTGCTTGCAGTGCTGTCAATTAATGCAAAGTCAATACGATTTGCCAGCTAAATCAACATGAATTACTTAATCCACATGGAGGCGACATACAAATCTATATTTAAAAAGACAATGACAATTCAAACAACAGGTATAAACTTTTACTACCATAACTGCCATCTTTACATTCTGTACCAGATACTGTTCCTCTGGCCCTTTGCTTCCCAGCTGCCCCCTTCTGTTTAGAAATATTCTATATAGTGATTGACTTTAAATTCATACACAATATCAAGAATTTCTCTACAATAATAAGCTTAGACCAACTGTTCTAGCAAGTTCTATTTTCTGTCTTTTTGATAGATGTGATGGATTTTTAAGCATTTTTATCAAAAAGAAATTGAGAAAAAGGCTGTATACTTTTTGGTTTTACTGCCACTGAACTATTTCTCTGAATACAT